CACCTTTCAGAATTATTATCCCTGCATTTGTTCAGCAGAAACTTTGGCTGTGATGACACGTATGTCATTAAAAAACCCAAGACAAATAACAAGCTACTGCATTTGCTACTCTGTATGTGGTTTTATATCAAAGCAAGAAGGACAACCTTCCATCCTCCACCAATTCAAAACACTATTAATACTAACTTTTTGTACTAAGGAGGCATCATAACTGTAGTTCTCTACACACAACATACATTTTTCAATTTCATATGTCAAATAGCAGTAATTAAAAAAAGTGCACTAGAAAGTGTTCCCTTACAAACAACCTAAGATTACAGAATGCTGTTTGAAAGAACTGTCCTGCTAAGGACAACATAATGGAAATTCAATGATTACTTCAGCTTTATACTGTTAACTAATTTTAAAAGTCAAGAAAACCTCCTTGGGTTTGGTTTCACGCCTTCTTTAGGGTGGTGGTTGTTTTTCAAACCCATACACTGTATAGTCAGCTGTAACTAACAAACACAACATGACCTAAACATTAAGAGAAACATAAAAAGGAAACTGGACAACCAATGACAAACCACGAGATCTGGAAAATAAGCTAAATAGTTCACAATGCACAAATGCTTCAAGAAATAAGAACCCAATCTGTGCATGGACCAAAATGTTTTCTGAAGTTGTGCAGACCTGGTTCTAGATGCATGTAACACAAAGATAACTACTGCACCTAACACTGAGTAAGGTTTTGCTCAAACACATCATGCTGTTAGTAGCTTGAAATGCTACAGTATGACACATAAGTCAGCTGTTAGAAAAATAAATTTTTTTTCCACCCAAAGTGAATAGTGTATTTGAGAATGATCAGTTTAAATGTCCCTTGAAAACATTTGAAATATCCTGTTGGACGTAGTAAAGCAGCACAGAAGCTAGTACTGTCATCACCCACCCCATGCATACAGGCAAAATTAGACATGAGAGTTTAAAAGCAGCAAACCCATGTTATGTCAAGTTTCCTTCACCTCATCTCTTCAAAGGAGTAAAGGATACTACATGCCAGACTTGGGCTAAGAAGTCCCATGCTGCAAGTTATACTACCATTTATAATTTGAGTAGGCTAGCAGAAAAATAACTTTAAGCAACGATACTGCCAAAAAAAAAAAAAAATCCTTTTAGATTATTTCATATCTGCTGCTTTAAAATTATTAGGGACTACTTGCTACGTAGGCCTACAAAAGACACTTTTCTGTGTATAATTGTTGTGCATCTAATAAATGCATGTTCATGTTCTTAAAAACTTTGTGAATCAAGCAAGTAAGCAGGCAGGTAGGATTTGTTCAGTAAAGCATTAGGTTTACCTTTGAAAACAGTTACAAACATGTAAATGAAACTCAAGGAAAAGAATGGCATCTACTGGATGAAACAACTGCATTTGTTTTTAAAAGGACAAACGCATACCACACATTACTAATAAACATTAAGCAGGGTAATAACACACTTTATAAACATTCAGATTATTAGTAACAGCAATCTACCATGCATTAAGTATTATGCAGTACATGTCCTAGCCAGAACAACATCTAGACACCACACATCAGGACACGGCAATAAACCAAATCCACACTACCAGTTCTTCAACTAAAACCACTGCGTGAATATATTATAAACACGTTGTTCTACTGATACATGCACAGCCTCTGAAGAGACTATGCATGTTAAATGTGTCAGTTTATCTAAGCATTAACCTCCCAGCAAGGTCCAGAGAGCTCTGACCATCTGATGTTTAGGCTGAAGCTGTAAAATGCACGACAGAAATTGTAACTTGAGTCCTCCTTAAAATTCTGCTGAAAACCCTTATTTAGTAAAAACATCCCCCTTCCCTCAAGCCCACGATATGAAAGCTGTAAAAAAGGTCTCAAGATTTGCATAGTACACTCTGTGGCAGGAACAGAATGCAAGAAGAAATCTTTATGAACTCTGTAGGGTCTTCATTAGCTCTTATTTCAGGCCTTCCTTCACAGGCTTAAAGCAACACTAGAAAGGGCTGAACAATGTGCAGCCTTTACTGTAAAATCACCATCAGAGCAAGGAAATGTGTCTCGTATAGCAATAATGTGCGCACAAATACTCCAAGCTGACCAGAATTCTGCAGTTAAGAAACCGAGTAACGAAACCGGTTAATAAAGATAAGCGAGAGGGATGTCTGAATTACGATGGCGAGGCCTGCCAAAGTAAGGGTAGGTTTACTAGTCCCGAATAGATTCCGCTCTAAGCACTCCGTCAGCCCCAATTGGTTTTGCAGGGCTTTGCGATGTAGCGTCTGGGTTCTCTCCCTTCCCCCCCTATCGTTAACACGAGTGAAGCGAAGACCGTGCCGGCTCCGCCATGTGGCGGAGACCAGAACAGGGCCCCGCAGCCAGGAGGGGAAAATGGCGCCCAGCAGCAGCCGCCGCCTCCAGGGACAGCGATGCGGCGAAAGTTAACAACTTTTGTAAAGATCAAGCCCAATTGATAAAAAACAAACAAAACGCCGCCCACAAACAAACCAACCCCCACCAAAACAACAAAAAAGGCCACCTGGAACCTCGAGCTGAACGGCAACCAAGCGCTGCGAGCCGCTTCTAGCGTGTATCTAACACGCACTGAACTAGGAAAAGGGCTCCTTTCGCCCCCGCTGTATGACACGAACGCAGCTGCACGGCCAGCCCGACTCGCCTTACTACCTTTGCCGGCAGCGGAGCCATCCTCACAGCCTCACGCACCGGCGAACCTCGGGGCCGCCATTTTACCCCTCCCCCTCGCCACCGCCATTACTAGCAGCGCCACTCCGGCAGCCCAGCTCCTCGCAGGGCAAAGGCGACCCCCGAATCGCGCATTGAGTTACCTTCAAAAAGCTGCGCCCCCCTCCTCCACCTGCACCTTAACGGCAGATCGGCTAACGGGTACGTTAAGCGGTTTAAAAACTCTCCCCAACGGCTACCGCCTCCTCTTCTCGGCTGCGTACTATCCCCAACCTCCCCTTCCAGAACCTTCCTCCCCGCTTAACGCTACCTCGGCGTAAACTGAGCCAGCTCACCACCCGCGGCGCGCCGACCGGTAGCCCGCCTTGCACTGACAAAGATTATCCCGCTCTTAACAACCAGGCCCAGAAAAAATCACTCCGAACTCTAAACCAAACGTGACACCCTTCTTAAAAGCAAACTCTGGATTTATCCCTCTTTTACGTACCACATTCTTCATGGTTTAGGTATTCCTGCTTGAGAGTACCGTACAACCGGTCAGTAATGGCTGCCCTGTTACGTAATTTGAAATTCAGCTCTACGTAGTGCTAGCGCCCTCCTTCTCCAACCAGGGCTCGCGTCCGAGGTTTGAGTTTAAAAAAAAAAATTTAAAAGCTTGAATATGGAGCTTAAATATCTCCAGAGGGGCAGCAGTTCTGTGTAACGCCCCTACGTCTTTCTACCGCGTAATGAAAACTCATCAACTCCGCTAGTAATGGCTGTCTCCGAAATGAGCCGAAGGAGCCTTCGTCGTCAAGCTTATCCGTTTCGACAGCCGCCGGAAAAAGCCGAAATGGCAATGGAAGCTCACTCGACTCCCTTCGGCTATTTCCGGAACTTGCCGAAGATGACAGAGCAGCGGTCGGAGGCTGCTCGGCAATTTCCGGAGAATCAGGCGCGGCAAGTCCTCGGCTCTTCAGCCCGTTCGGCAATTTCCGGCAACGGAAGAGACTCGGAATACCGGCCGAACCGACCCCGATCGCGACTGGCACCGTGTCGCTTTCTTTTTTTTCTTCCGGAAATTGCCGAACGGCGCCGAAAGCTCAAACCTCGAAGCGCAGAGTTATTATTAGCCGAAGAGGGCCCCGTTTTGCCCCCCCCCGTTGCCCTCCCCTTAGCCACCTGTGGTGGTGGCAGGGATCAGGCGGGCGCAGAGCGGAACGCACCCCCGTGATCTCCCCCGGTGGCTGCCGGCCTAGCCCCTTCCCCTGGGCAGGAGGAAGTGATAACCACCCGTATTTCGGCGGCAGCGCCGCCACACAGCGGGGGCCCGGCAGCCAGGCTTAGCCGCAGCCTGCTCCGCTCTACCCTCCCCGCCGACGCCGGGCGCGCCGCCCGCTTCGGCACTCCGTTCTTCCTTCCTTTCTCCCTCCCCCTTTTCTCTCTTCGGCGGCCCCGCACGCACCGCGACAAAGGGTGAGTGCTGCCGCCCCGCGCACCAGGGAAATGGCGCTGGAGCGACTCCTTTCTTCCCGCCCCCTCTTCTCCCCCTCCCCCCTCAGCTCCCAGGGAAAGCCAGCACGGATCCTCCGCAACCGCAGCGAGGCTTCACCAGCCGACCCCTTTCCCCACTAACGAAGGGCTTCCCAAACTCTCCTCCACCCCGCAGTGTTTTCCAAACCCACTTCCCTGCCCCTCGCTAACGACTAGGCCTCCCCACCGCAACGCGGGAAATGGCCGAGCTCCAATCGCCCCCCTCATCTGAGCCTCAACGAGCTTCAAACCCATCCTAGCGCTCCCTGCCCACCCTCCCAGCTCCCAGGGCTCGCCGGGGCCACCCTCCAGCTCTGACCGAGGGCCTTGCTCCGCTGCGGGCGGCGCCCGCTCCGGCCCAACGCGCCCTCATGGCGGCGGCCATCATGGCGGCTGCAGTTACCGGTCGCCGTGGGCCCGTTCCCCCCCGCCTCACCCAGTCGCTTTCTCTGTCGCCGCGAGGCATCTTCCTTCTTTTGGACGCCTGACGCGGTCCTGCGCTAGCCCCCCGTTGGAGAGACGTCTTGGCCCCCCTCCTGTGCTGGCGGCGACGACGGTAGGAGGTTGCAGCTCGCGCGTAGGCGGCGTCGTGCGCTCTGCCCCGTCAGCCGCCGGCGCGCAGTGCTCGGCCAGCCCAGCCCCGCCACCCGCCGCGCCCGCCCTGCGCTGCGCCGCGCCGCCGCCCCGCCGCTCCCCACCCCCTCCCTCACTCCTTCCCTCCCTCCCTTCCTCCCTCTCCCCACCCCCCGCCTCAACCCCCCTCAGATGTCGCTGTTGCCGCCGCTGCTCAGTGCGCGCAGGGCGAGAGCGAGGAGGAGACGCCAGACCTGAACGGCTGGGCACCATTGAAGTCTGTATCCTTCTCTCTCTCCCTCTTTCTCTCGCTGCAGCCGCCTCCTATCCCCCTCTTCTCTCCCCACCCCCGGCTCCCCTTCCTTCTGCGCCCCAAGGCCTCGCCTGTGGGCCGCCGCGGATCGATGCGGGCACAGCCCTCCCGCCTCCCTCCCCACCCCGTTAGTACACTGCCGCTTCCTTGGCGGCGGGGGGTAACGGGTGGAGCAGTGCTGCTGGGGGGGCCTCGGCCCCGGCGGCTGCACGGCAGTTGCTGGTCCGCATCGGGGAGAAGGGAGGGAGGGCCCCGGGGCTAGCGGGCTTTACCGCGGGGAAGGAGGGTTGCGCCGGGGGGCGGGGGCAGAGGCACCCGCGCGGCGGCGGCAGCGGACACGCTCGGGAGACAAAGCCAGCCCGCCACCGTCGAGGGGCGGCCCTGCTCCGGGAGGTGGCGGCGTGCGCCGGGCCCGGGGGAAACGTGGCGGGGTGGGGGAGGCGGTGTGGAAAGGGGCCCTGGCGGCGGGGGCTCGGCTGCCCGGGGCGAGACCTGCGGGCCCGTTCTCCCGGCCTTCGCCGTGGGGCTGCGGATCGGCCCCGCGCCGCCCGGGGCAGCCCTTTTAGCGCGCCCGCCGCGTCCCTGGCTGCCTCACGTGCGCCCGCCACACGCCAGAGGCGCGGCCTCTCCCGGCAGGCCTCCTCCGCAGGGCTGCCTGTGTTCTATGGGGGGTGGCATCGGGGGCGGGGGGGCGGGAGAGGTTTTATTATTACTATTGTTGTTTCTTTTCCCCTTTTTCCTGCCTTCGAACGGGGGCAAGGCAAAGCCCCTCTGCACTGGGGCCTTGGCCCCTGCCCTCCACTCCCCTTACGTTCCCCACCGCCTATGGGGCTGCCAAAATCCACCTCCCGTGTCAGGGGAGAATTGGGGGAGGATTGCTGAATCCGAGAGGTTTCCTGGCCTTGCAGGACTCTCCTCTGCCTTGCCCCCAGGCATATGGGGAGTTCTAACAGTTCTATAGTTTGCAGTGGGGCGGGGACAGTACATGCCTGAGGAGGTGGCCAGTATGAGAAATGACATGGAAAAGGGGATGGATTCTGTTCAACATCATTTCTGTAGGTTAAATATGTAGTATGTACAGCTTAGCTGAGTTAACATTGCTCTAGGACCTTAATTCTTGCAAGATTGAGAATCAGAAGGCAACGTTATAGTTGCATTAAGATAAATATTTGCTGTTTGTAAGAACTTACTACTATGTAAGAGTAGTGGGTGACTCATTATTAACACCACAGATATGTAGCTGCTCCCCACCAGAAATATACCTAGTATATACCTAGGTATATCTCAATTGCTAGAATCTGAACTCCTATTCCATTGGGTTTAAGGAAATAAGCATCCCTGATGGTCCTCCCCCTTTTCCCTTGAAACATAACTGTGCCTTAGAAGGCCTTGGGGGAAAAAAACCCTTTTTTTTCAACCGCATATACCACTTTGTCATATCATTTGTCCTGGCTAGCATAATGGTGCATTACTGGGTTATGCCAGATGAAGTGGTAACCTACTTTTTGTTCTGGATTCAATCTTTATTAGAAACGTTGTATGCAGTGATTATATGGGGGTTGGAACAAGGACCATGCTTGTATTGGGATGCCTTTCTTTGAGTAATGTAAACTTCCTTTTAATTGTCATGCATTTTTCTAGTAAAAGCTCTGCAAGTCTGCAATAAAAATGGCCTCCAATAAAACTACATTGGTAAGTTCATGCACACCTGAAGTATGTAAGGATTTAATCAACATATTTTTCTTCAGACTTATAACTTGGCATCTCCATTTAAAAGCTACATCCACATCTCCCCTCCCCAGCATTGTTCTGACCAAAATTTCAGATCCAGAAAGTAAGGCTACTAGAAAGGACATTGTCTTTGGCTTTAATAAATCTCCCATTTCTAAAGAGACTTGTTGGGAAAAAATATTAAAGGACTGCACTGTTTCATCTGTTTTACAATAGAGAACACTAAGGTTTTTGGTTTTTCTTTTTAGATTCCTTTCAGCACTCCATGTAATTCATCATATATGTAAAAAATAATATCCAAATCATGTATTCATTTAATTTCTCCCAGTGTACTTGGGGAAAATCAATTGCCTGAAAAAGGCAGATGAAAAATAACATTATTGGGAAATGATGTGGCGTAGTTACGATGCCTTTTGAAATGATTTTTAACAAATAACAGTTTCTTTGAATTTCATAGGAGCAGAGATTATCAGATGTCAACCCCTCCTGGACCGTTTTAATGATGCATACATGGATCTCAAGTCCTGTAAAGCTTTGCTTGACATTAAAATATGGACTTCTAAGGGCAGTTGGTTGCTGGTTGCCATTCAGCTAATAATTATATCGTTTTATGAGAGACAGAACTGAAAAAGTAGAGTGTGAGATGCATCTGAGGTTGAGGTGGGGAAGTGAGCTGAAATACACATGTACAATTCAACATTTGGATAGCAGTACAACTGATTCATAGTGCTCTCAAAAGGCCTATACTTAAAATTTACTGAAACGATCACTGGTTGACCCAAGTAGAGATACATTAAAAACTTGCATTAACTCCTGGCTTAAAAGTGCAATGGAGTGCTTCCTTTATACTGCACAATAAGAAACTATTTTAAAAGATTTCACCAAGGTCAGTGTCTGAACTTCCTGTTAGTAATTGGTTGCCCAGTTTTCCCTAATTCAAGGAAGAGAAGGGGAGGGGGTGCCTCAGGGAAAGGGAAGAATCTGTGAATGCAGTATTTTTAATCTTTTGATGTTTACAGAAGAATTTTGCTGCACAGGTCAGGAAAGGCAGTTATGGTTCCCATGGGAACTGTAACTAATTCTGCTTCGTTATGTATTTGCATGCAAACCCTAAATGTATTAAGGGATAGCATAGCTCTTGATCTGTAATTCGTATTTTGTAACCTTCTGTGTTAAAACCCTTCACCACAGTGTCACATCAATGTTTTAATCATGCCCCTTAAAGAAAACGATCAGCCACACACCTGCAACCTTCGTATGTGATTTTGGAGTGCAGGAAGGGAAATGGGCCATAGAGGATCCATTCAGTGGTCAAATGCACAAGTTACAGCTTACATGTGACCCTAGAGAAGGAAGCTTCAGGGGTCTGGTGGCCACTTCAGTCATTATCAGTGAGATTTACATTGGCTTGTATAATCTCAGAATGTACAGGTTTTTAACAAATGTTCAGTATTTCTGCAGGCTCTGCAATCAAGTATTACTTTAATAGGTTGGAAAGGCTCAAGAGTTTGGAAGTCAGTGCTGATGTACACGAGCTAATTGAATCTCTTAAATATTTAAAACAAAAAGCAACACACTCTCAGTTTTGTTATTTCTTACTGCACTTCAAGAAAAAAATACAGCTCCCCATGACATGCATTTTCTTCTGTGGAAGACTCTAGATACTTAAATCTTAGAAAGTAAAAAAAAATAAAAATAATGTTGCTTTGATACAGAAATCCAAAACATTTATCTTTAAGTGACAAGAATTAGTGAAGCCGAAAAGCGTACCAGAAAACAATCTGCCATTGAATCAAAGAATTTTAGTGCAACGGAGAACACAGATGGAGATATTCCCCACTTGTAGCCTGCTTGCCTCATCACCAGTAATTATAATGTTATTACTATGGTATAGTGAGTCTGTCTTGTTTGGGTTTTCTTTATTTTTCTCTCTGCTTATTTCTTTCTTTTCTTTTTTTTTGGTTCATGTGTTTTCCTCATTTCTGCCTGTTTCTCTTTTTCACACTTCTGTTTCTGGAACGAAGCTGCCTTCATAGAAGCATTGGACATCTCCATGTTTTAATTTTCTTTCCATATCAGTCTTACGTTCTTTTTCCTGTGGAGGCAAAAAAAGCCAGTGTGCTTAAGTTGACACTTTTCAGACATGAATGCTGTGGTCAAAATACACCTGGGATATGCAGGCAGTTAAAATCTTAATTGGAAATACATGCTCTGTTTTAGATAATCTCTCTTCTATGCTTCAGATCTAAACAAATGTTGCATGAGATATAACCATATACAGAAACTTGCTGTTTGAAAGAGAAATTTGAAACTCTTCCTCCTCATTGTTTACACCTTCAATTTCTGCTAACCAGAGTAAAGCTGTTTTGGGGAGTGCGGTGGAAATCAGTTATGAAAAATAAGGGCACAAAGACATGGCTTTGGAAAGAAAGAATTGGCCTTAAATCTTTCAGTTTTTTAAAAAAACAGTTTTTTGTCTAATGTACATATTTTTTATTTTTTTTTACCTTTCACCACATCAAGACAAATTCCTACAAAGTCTAAAAACCTGAGTTTCAAAATTGCTTCACAGTATTCTCAAACCAACCTGCTTTCACTCTAGAGAGGATTAGAGAAAGGCCATCATGCAACTAGATGTGCTCTGTGATTTATTTTTTGCTTGTCTGTTTTCTGTTCTATAGGAAGTGCATTAGTGAGGAATTAGTTCTGTCGACTTTGATTTAGGGTGCTGCACGAGTATACAGTTTAGGAGCTTAATACTGCTCCCATTAGTTTATGGCTGCCACTTTAACAATTTCCTTATAAGGTGCAGTCCAAAATGGCAAGCAAATTGCTTTTGGTCTGCTAGTGCCCCAGAAATGTGATAGGCTTGATCCAAACTTTCTAAGATTGCAAAAAAGGAAATTCTGAAATGTGTCCTTCTATTACTGTTTAATTGTGCCTTATTAAACTGGGAATGCCTTGAGGATGATGTGGATGTAATATTTATTTTAAGAATTTTAAGAATATCATTTGAAGTATCAAATGTAAACGTAAAACACTTATAAAGTTGTTCAAGTTAGCAAAATTTCATTTATATGTTTAGTGCTGTATTTAAGCATAGGTGTCTTAAATTTTTGCACCTTTGTGACATCTGTTTGAATGTAAGTTGCACTGGTGCGTGGTTGAGAATGAGAAGGGACTGCAGTAATGGAATGCTCCTAGCATGCATCCTGTTCAAGAGTGATGGGTTATTGTTGAGTATTTTGCTTATTGTAGTTATATGTCATAAACTTTGCTCCCATCAGCTTTTCCTTTTTTTTTTCCTGTTTTATGCATTTCCACAGTTCCCTTACTATTTCTGTCTTATGCTGTTTCTTGCTCTCTGCCTTTTCACAGACACAGAGTTAACTTCTAGAAGCTTTATAAATTTTTGAGCATGTAGCACTGAGAATTTTTTATACTGAAATGTATAAGGGGAGTAGAGGCACTGTGTATGGACAAAAACATTTCACCTTTATAAAACTGGTGTTGGGTATCTCATTAAGCAACTGAAAAAAACCCAAAACATTAACATGTCTTGCTCAGGTTACCTGACCACATGCACTAACGTAAAAGGAGTCTGAGCTTCTGGCTTTAGTGTGAATAAGTACATGATTCTTTGCTGCTTAGTGAGCAAAGTTGGATTTGGCCAGTGAAGTAACTGTGTAAAGCAAAAGAATAATGTCATTCTGAATTTCTTTTGTAGCACAAAATGGGAAAGAAACAGAATGGTAAAGGTAAAAAAGTTGAAGAGGCAGAGCCTGAGGAATTTGTTGTGGAAAAAGTCCTGGACAGACGTGTTGTAAATGGAAAGGTGGAATACTACTTGAAGTGGAAAGGATTTACAGAGTAAGGCATTACCTGTTATTTTTTTCTGATAGAATGCTAAATATTAACCATTTACTTGAAATAACTGTGCAAAGAGGGGATTGGATGAGGGTGATACATTTTAAAGAACAAGCGAAGGATGTCCGTAAATGCATGTTCAAGTGGGGCAGCCAAGTTAGACTGACAGTTGTTATATATAGAAACATAGAATGGTTAGGGTTGGAAAGGACCTTAAGATCATCAAGTTCCAACCCTCCCTGCCATGGGCAGGGACACCTCGCTCTAAACCGTATCACCTAAGGCCTCGTCCAACCTGGCCTTGAACACTGCCAGGGATGGAGCATTCACAACCTCCTTGGGCAACCTATTCCAGTGCCTCACCACCCTAACAGGAAAGAGTTTCCTCCTTATATCCAATCTAAACTTCCCCTGTTTAAGTTTTAACCCATTACCCCTTGTCCTATCACTACAGTCCCTAATGAAGAGTCCATCCCCATCACTCCTATAGCCGCCCTTCAGATACTAGAAGGCTGCTATGAGGTCTCCACGCAGCCTTCTCTTCTCCAGGCTGAACAGTCCCAACTTTCTCAGCCGATCTTCATATGGGAGGTGCTCCAGTCCCCTGATCATTCTCATGGCCCTCCTCTGGACTTGTTCCAACAGATCCATGTCCTTTTTATGTTGAGGACACCAGAACTGTACACAATACTCCAGGTGAGGTCTCACGAGAGCAGAATAAAGGGGTAGGATCACCTCATTCGACCAGCTGGTCACACTCCTTTTGATGCAGCCCAGGATACAGTTGGCTTTGTGGGATGCAAATGCACATTGAAGCCGGCTCATGTTCATTTTCTCATCGAACAGCACCGCCAAGTCCTTCTCTGCAGGGCTGCTCTGAATCTCTTCTCTGCCCAACCTGTAGTTGTGTCTGGGATTGCCCTGACCCAGGTGCAGGACCTTGCACTTGGCATGGTTAAACTTCATGAGGTTGGCATCAGCACACCTCACAAGCGTGTCGAGGTCCCTCTGGATGGCATTCCTTCCCTCCAGCGTATCAACCGAACCACACAGCTTGGTGCCATCGGCAAACTTGCTGAGGGCGCACTCAATCCCACTGTCCATGTCAGCGACAAAGATGTTGAGCAAGCCCGGTCCCAACACTGATCCCTGAGGGACACCACTCGTTACTGGTCTCCAGAACTACTGTCAAATTAGATGAATTTGCATGAGGAATTTTGTGGCATAATTGCATTCATTAGGCATGCCCAAAAGGTATCTTTTGAGTCGCTTTCACAGGACTTACAGAAGCACAGGAAAGCCTTTTTAAGTGAACTTAAAAATCAATTGTTAAAGAAAGCACATAGCTGTGCCTCCTCCATCCCTCCCATGACACTTTCTTGCAGTCTGCTTTACTATCTGAAAAAAAGGTGATGCAACTATCATTTGAACACAAGTAGTTACATGTAATGGTATTGTTATTGTATATCTCCCAGAGTGATCACATTGCAATATCCTGCTTCTAGCACCTGAAGTTTGTGTAGTGGTAAGAGCAGAAATGCAAAACACAATGTGTTTAGTATTTGAGGATCTTACTTAAAAAATACATTTTAGTAACTGAAAATAATTTGTAGGCATCCTGCTTGAGTGGTAGTGCTGTGGCAGTATTTGTGCATGAGGACTTCTGAAGAGGTGCTTAGTTGTTGTAGGGAACATTCACGCACTTCTTAAAAGTTTAGTTAACAATATGCACACTCACTGAAACATTTGCACTGCCCAGCTCTGGAAATGGAACCTTTGTTCCCTCCTGTAGTCGACTGAAGGAGGAATATAGTTCTGGGTACAGCTGAGCTCAGTGCTCAAAGAGAGCTTTTTAGTGTATTCTTCATGTATAGAAACTTAGACATACGTACACTGTTTGTGGTGAGTGTTGTGTACATTCTGTTCTCCATCAGTTTTAGTGCTCTTATCATATAGCTTGTTTGCATCGACAGTCTTTAGGGGAAATCAGGGAAAGGAGTCAGTTTAAATGGACAGGTAAGTTTTGGTAAGGTGGGTATTGCTTGTTTTAACTCCTGTGATCCCACTGGATTATAGGAGCTAAGAGACCTGCTTGTTCTGTATCTCCAGTTTAAGAACATTATTTGTCAACAGTAGCAGAGCATACTAATTTCGTTCATGAAATTTAGTACGTGAAGGTTACAAAAGATGGCAAGATAAGCATCCTTAGGTTTAAAAAAACTTGCCTTACATAAAGAGAAAATGAATTAACTTGCTTAAGGTGAGCCATTTGTCTAGTTTTGCGTTTTATTTCTTTCCATAGTTTTACATAACTGTGTATATGTTTCAGTGCTGACAACACATGGGAACCTGAAGAAAACTTAGATTGTCCAGAGCTAATCGAAGCTTTTCTGAACTCTCAGAAAGCTGGTAAAGAAAAAACAGATGGTGCCAAAAGAAAATCCTTGTCAGATAGCGAGTCTGATGATAGTAAATCAAAGAAAAAGCGTGATGCTGTAAGTATATGTTCATATGCTAAGCTTTTTTTTTCCCCCTGTGTCTCTTCCCTACTCCTCCCATCACCACCCCCAAAAAATCCTATTATCATTTTGAGAATGAGACCAAACATGAGTTTAAAATTGTAAAAATCTCACATCTGGAACTGTGGTTTGAAAAGAGTAATCATTTTTGGTTGTTAATGAGACCATCCAAAAGATGAGTAAAAGGTGATTGACATGATTGCTAAAAGTTACTGTGTTGTCCCATGATGCTTCCTGAATAGTTGAAAGACTAATTAAAATGCTATTAATGAATGATGCTGAGTGGTCATTTGTATTAGAGCAAAAGGTTCATAAATGGAACAAAGATTAAGTTCTGGCTTTGCTTTCATATTTAGCATATGATTTTGAACAGGGGAGTGGCAAGATGGCAAAATGTGAAGATCAGGCAGTTACTTAGATTAGGAGCAGACATGATAAGAGGAAGTAGAAAGGGTAAGTGAAGAAAGCCTACCTTTTCTTAAAGGTCTTGGTTTCTCCTACACTTTAAATGAACAAGCAGCATGACAAATTTAGTGCTGACAAGTACAAAAGAATGCAAATACAGTAATGTGCTCAATAGTTCATGTTTTTCTCTGTAAACTAGCAGTCTGAAATAAAACTGGTTGGCAGTGTCAGTAGTTTGCTGAAGACAGCTGTTGGATGTGTGATTGCTGTCAAAAAGGTTTGAAGGCATCAGAAGGAATAGTTTTATTAATAATACAAAGAGTATTTGAGTTTCTGTATAAAGTCAGTTGCGTGGCTTTATCTGGTACAGCAGTGGTCACTGTCTCAAAAAGGATATTGTGAACCTAGAGGAACTAATACAGGAAATAGTCATGATATTTCTTGCCACTGATGTGATCTCAGTGAGCCGAGAACAATTGAGATACTCCCCAAGGGTGCAGTTTCACAGCTGGCTTAAGCCATCACAGGCCTGTTGTTTTGCTGAAAATGATGTGGTTTTCCCTCTTCCAGGAGTGCATTTCTGCTTTGCCCCTTTTGTTGCTTTTACAGGCCATGCTTGTTTTTTTTTGTCTGCTGTAATGGTTTTAGACGAATTGTTTCATCTATTGAGTTTTCAGAAATAAATGATAGATACATTTCTGTAAAGTCCTTTGTTACTACCTTACATCTGGATAAGTTGGCCTGAAGATCAGTCATTGAAAAGAGAGATGTAATCTTCAGACAATAGTATGTAATTACAGCATTTATAATTATGCAAGGCTATTTTTTTTTTGTTCTGATACACATATATATATGTAAAAGAATGTGTGTATTTAACACTAATGCCCAAGTAGAATTTCATGTTAAGCGAGATACTAATGTTTTAACTTACTCGATAGGTTGATAAACCAAGAGGATTTGCAAGAGGTCTTGATCCTGAGCGGATAATTGGGGCTACAGATAGCAGTGGAGAGCTTATGTTCCTCATGAAATGGTAAGTCTTAGATCCACAGTTCTCCATATTAAGAGAGGGCATGCCAATTGCGCTTAGGCTAACCGGGCAACTTCATTTCAGGAGTAAGGCAGAGGAACTGGTTGTCTGCTTACTGTCCTTGTATTCTTAGAAAAACAAGGCTTCCTATAATCAGTTAGTACTTAATCGGTCTTCCTTCAAAATCCAAAATAACTTTCATTTATGTTGGTTATGGAATTTTATGGCAGTAGAAATTTAAAAGGTAAATCCTGATAAAATGTGGAAAAACTCGCATTTGTATGGAAAAGCTGGATCTTGGTAATGGTTTTGCTGAATGAATGTCAGGGAGGAATCCAGCTTTACACATTCCACTAAGCACGAGCCAGATGCTGCACAGCCAGCCGTTTAACTGACTGTAGTACCAGCTGTTCTGCATGCATCTAAGTGGAATTGGAAGCAGCTACTGGAGGAAGCTGAGGATGAGATGAAGAACAAACAATATGGAGGAGAGGTTTATTGTTATGGGCTAGAAATAGGGGAAAGTGATGGAATTTGTGTTGTTGGAAGGGTATGTCAAGACCAGCTTCACTAGCTACAGTGTTGACAGAAAGACTTCCTGCCTTGTAAAACAAGTATAAGAAAATCAGCGCTGTTTTTCCAGTGTTGAGAATACAAGAAATTGAATTGACATTTACTGGGGGTTGGATATCATATGCTGGTGGGATGAGAACAACTATAGCTTTCCACAGCCTTTGACAAGGGCAGAATTTTCTGAATGGAGTCAAACTGAGTGGTCTCCAGAGAAATTGTTTGCCATGTGATGTGCCCAGACTGCTGAAGATTAGTGCTTTGGAAGATTCTGTCTCCCTTCTGTCTTTCTACATTCTCCCTAAATTATATGTGAAAGTCAGAAGCGATGCAAAATACGGATTATGACAGTTTGGATTTCTGCAGTGATAGCTGGCAAAATGAAACAGAAGGATTTAGTTCAGTTGCAGTTTACTAGTTTTTCATAATTGATGGTAGGCAACAAACATAGATATAAACACGTTTTCACAAAACTGACTTGTGAAGGCAACATACACTTCAGAATGGACTCTGAAGCATGTCAGACTGGAAAGTTTATTATCCCAAAACAGCAACAAGAAAAGCAGTGTAAAGTACAGGAAGTGACTTGCATAAAGAGTAAATAGAATTTGAATGCAAGTGCCCCATGTTGAGACTGATGCTAGTGATTTTTAAAAGTCTTACTATGAAGTTGTGGTTATACTTTAAAAGAAAAAATCATCAAAGTTGTTTCAGTATATACTGCAGTTGGTAACTGTATAAATGGTTCACTTTGAATAGCGTTTTCCTTTAAAACAGAAAAAAATACAGGAAGGGAAGGAAGATGCAGCTATGAAACCTTACCATTAACATGGAAATTCTTGATATACTGAAGGTATACTGAAAACTGACATTCTTTTTAGAACCTGTGACCTATCAAAAGCTGATATATTTACTTACTTACAGTTATGCATTTTCTTAAATCCCACTCTCTTTACATCAGGAAAGACTCTGATGAGGCAGATCTGGTGCTGGCCAAAGAAGCTAACGTGAAGTGTCCTCAGATCGTAATCGCTTTTTATGAAGAGCGACTAACTTGGCATTCATGCCCAGAAGATGAAGCACAATAATTAGTTGCATTGCTTTTTTATATATATGAATATTAAACCCGGAAATCTGATTTATTAGCAATGTGAGAAACATACATTCTAACAAGAATCAAATTTGATATTTTTTTGAAGTAGTATGTTTTGCATCAACAGCAAGTAAATAAAAGCTTTCTGCGACTTGTTTCATTTATCACAAGAGAGCATTTGATACTACTACTTCCTCCATATTAGGTAAAAGCTTTTATAAAACATTCATAAACTTCCATAGTTATTAAAGAATCATAATGAATGTTTAAACAAACTCACAGATGTTTTTGTAGTCTTCTATACTATTGATGTGCATGTACCTCCTTTACCCAAACCTAGCCCTTTAAAATTGTAGAATCATTCTTTTTAGTATTTGGGATCACCTGGTCTCAAGACCAGGTGAAAACTAACTTTGTAGTAATTTGAATGTTATCAGACTGTATATTGTTTACTTTATTGTAAATACTGGTGAACAGTGGTCAATAAAATAGTTTTATATTCTTCCTTTATACTGATAGGCTGTGACTCTTTTGAAGCGGTATGATATTTCTGAACTTTTGATATGTTAAGCTCTCAATTTGTAATATATTTAACTGTAAATTGTTTTTTTTTGGGGGGGGGGGGTAGACCAATTCATGAATATTGCTCTGTTGCTACTCTGTAGTCACAATACCAGACAAATACCAGGCTTTGGTCCTTTGTATTTTTTTCAGTGAATAATGTGCGAGGCATAGGGTTTTTTTTCAGTCAGGAAGCGCTTGTGAAGTGAATGTGCTTTGGGTATGTGTTTTAAGTCAGATAGCAAACATACTGCTTAGTTATGGCTGTTGGTCCATAAGCCTGAGTGGCCTGTGCAGGTATACTGGGAAATACTTAGTGTGTTAACAGTATCGGCTTTGCTTTAATTTCAGTGTTAATACCAGGCTATAGTGTAACTAGCAGGGAATTATTCTTCAGGTGGTAGCCCAAAGAATACTTGCATAGCTCTGTCTTTAAAAGGGAATATTTTAATGAAGTTACTTAAGTCATATACTTTAAACAAAAGGCTTTGTTTCTGTTTCAGATTGAATTTTAAAATGAGTTCTATAATCAGCTGCTTGGAGAATGCCTTCAGGAAGGCAGAAATAAAGGGTGGGGAACTCAGGAGGGAAGAAAGTTGTCCTTTTCCATTCTTTATCCAGCTGCCATTCTTCTCTTGTTTTCATTTAAAACACCTTCTTTTTGTGTTTTGACTGCAGTGGTATACTTTGTCTTGAGTTGTGCCTCTCCATATGTCAATGGCCAGCCTTGTTTCAGAATTCTCCTGAATCTAAAGTTTTGACTAAAAACAAGTATCATGCAATATGCTGTTGTCAGCGTCACAGAATCAGAGTGGTTTGGGTTGAAAAGGACCTTAAGGCTCATCCAGTTCCAACCCCCCTTGCCCTGTGCAGGGACACCTTCCACTAGACCATACTGCCCGGTCCAACCTGGCCTTGAACACTGCCAGGGATGGGGCAGCTGGAGCTGCTCTGGGCAACCTGTGCCAGTGTCTAACCATCCTCATAGTAAAGAATGTCTTCCCTATATCCAATCTAAACCTCCCCTCTTTCAGTTTAAAGCCATTTCCCCATGTCCTATCCCAACATGCCGTTGTAAAAAGCCTCCAGCTTTCTTGTAGGCTGCTTTTAGGCACTTAGAAGGCTGCTGTAAGATCTTCCCAGAACTGCTATCAGGCTGAATAAGCCCAACTCTCATCCTGTCTTCACAGGAGAGGTGTTCCAGCCCTATGATCATTTCTGTGGCCCTCTGGACTTGCAGAGTCCTAGGTGAGACAGTTAAGTTTGCCCAGCTCTGTTTCCTTAAAAGGGTAAAAGAAGATGGGGGTTCCTGGAAGCCCTCCTGAGGAGTGAATGAAGGACTTTAGTCTGCTTGATGTTCTTTCAATACTGTTTAACAAATCATTACTATAACTGTCCTCACATAGTTCAGAAAGTATTTACAATGTGAATCAAAGCATGTCACTGTAAAACAGTTACAGTTGAACACTGCAGTGGCTAAACTGATGCTAAGTTACTTTTTTTGTATAACTGCTTTGTCTTGTCATTTTTTTATTATTACTGGGTTTGGGCAGAATTCAGTTGCTGTTTGTGGCTCTAGGAAAAATCTGATATTCCTGTTAGTGTGGGGGTTCACTTGTATCAGGTAATGCTAATTTCAGAGCTTAGCCTGCCCCTTAGGCTACCCCAGCACATGTGTTAAATCACTTGCAGAATTAGGGTTTAATTCTTTCAGGCCTATAATAGGAATATTGATGCACCTAGTATATAGGGTTCTGAAATCCTTGGTTTATACCCCTTAGCTTGAGAAATATACTGGCTAAACAAGAATTCCAAAGCAGCTTGTTTTTTTCCGGCTTGCTGCTTCCGCTATGAAACGCTTTTTAAGGAGTCTTAAAACTCTTATTCTCGGTTTGCGTTTTATCACCTTTGCAGTTTCTATACTTCTTTTGGTTTAAGTGTGGATATCAAGTTTATATAAAGTTGCTGATTTGAAGTGATAGAGGTGAACCAGTTGATTTAAATTACCGGTTATTGTAAGTGGTAGACATAGAGGTTTTTCTTGAAAGGTTGATCCTTGATTTGTAACCCTTAAACTAGAGAATTGCAACAAGATGCAGTTGTTACGTTATATAGGTTCTTCCCTCTGGCTCCCTGTAAAAATGAACTGTACTCACGTTCAATTTTACAGCTTGTTAGACAATTAATTACAATTCCAAATTTTTACACTATGATAGTAGAAATGCTGACTGGTATTTGTTTCCTTTTTTGTCTTCCTCACTTTGTGTCAAACTGCATTTTGATAGAAATAAAATGCAACACTTTAAAGTTACAAGTTCTGTAAGATTATGCTGAATGTGCTGCATACATATGCAAGAAGTTAACAAATGTTATTAATTTAAAATTAACTGATTAAATAAATGAGATATCTTCTGTAGTTAGTGACTTGTGCAGCGGTTTCTGGTCCTTTCTTACACAAAAACAAATTGGTTTCAGGCTGTCGTTTCATGATCACTCTCTGTTGATGCTGCTGTCCCAAAAGAAACAGATCAGTTGTGCCTGTTCCAGTACTGCTTCTCACCCTGGCTGAGAAAAATACTCTGGAGTTTAACATAAGCAGGTAGTGGTAGGTAATGCAAAATTCATCTTCTCACAGCCTGACTCTTCTTTCTGAGGGGAAGAATAAAACTCATAATTTGATCATTAGTATTGAATTAATTGCAAATTAAAGAGCAAGTGCTGTTAAATAGAATAAAACATACATTCTTAGTAACTGAAGAGCTATCAGTACTGCAAGTGAGTATTATCAGTTCAGCACAAACATCTATGTGCTTTTTAGTAAGTAAGTGATTTATGGTCCAGTTCTCTTTAAAACTGTTGGGCAGTTCCTTCACAACAGATCATAGCATATTTAGGACTTGACATATGTTGCCATCATTTCATGTGTAACTGGAAGTACATTTTTCCTTCAACTGCAAATTACTAAGCTCAGTTACTTGCCTGAATTGTGCTCCCACATGTAAAAGATGTCCTCCTTTCCTGTTCTAAGAGCATTCTCCAACATTCCCAGCATTTTCCTTGCCATTGGTCTCCTTTTGCTTTCTCTTTGGAACTTGTCCAAATGCCACCTTTTATTCATGTTTTGAATTTAAGATGCCTGTGTTAAGTAAGACACATCCAGTCTGCTGGCAGAGGCCTCTAAACCTGGGGCTACCCACCAAGCCAGATGCCTTCAAATCTGTTTCTGAGGTGCTGGCCCCAAAAAGAGAAGCTTACAAGCACAGACTTGCTGCACCTTACAAGCTGAGGTGCAATACAATGGAAATATGGCTCTGGTTCCTGCACCAAGACATAGCAAGGTCAACTGGAGCCATGTTTTTCCCTGTAGGTTTGTGAAACTAGTCTTCGCTAGAGCAAGTTGTGCTTTGTTTTGCAGAGAAAATGTTCTGACTCTGTTGTGGGTTTTATCTGCCTCAGATGTGTGCTGTTCACAGGCAGTTTCTGCCCCATAGTGTTTTGCTATTCTCTGAGCTTTTAGTTGTGACAACACCTGAGAAGGGTGTGAAAGTTGTAGTATCATCATGTCAACAGGACCTGGAAAGAGCTTCACTGCTGCTCCTTCCTAATGGAACAGCCACCGCTGTCAGCTTGGGTAACATCAGATTCTTTGGATGTTCAAATGGAAAACTTTAATTTGGCGAAAACCTTTAAGGGACTCTGATGTAAGCATCCTGGGCTCTCACTGCAAATAAATGATAGATGGTTTAATAATAAGTGCCCCCCCCCCAAGTAAAAAACCCCACCAAATTATACCAAGCAAAATTGGAGCACTTGTTCCAGAGAGTCTTAGGCCTTTCTATTGGTCCAGCCCCATGCAAGCAGGAACAGTGCTTTTTTTTCCCCTTGTAAACTGCTGTGGGATTTATTAATGTGGTGACAGAACTGGATATGGTTCCCAGAGCTCAAAATGATACCTGCCAGATGGGAACTCATATTCTTCCATCTAAAGATGCTGGTGTTAATGGCATAGTGTTTGATAAAAGAAATAACCTTTTGTGATGTATTTTCTTACTTGATAACGGTTTTAGTAAATGGTCAAGTACTTCCATTCATTGCAGTGCCTGCAAAATGATTTTAATCTGGTGAAAAGATGGCCCTTCTGTGTGTGGAATTTGATGGCAGGGTTTGGTTTGTTCCTTGGCTGAATGCGCACATCCTGCAGATTTCCTACACCAGCAGAGGCATCATTGGCTTCTCCATCTGATCCCTCCTTCCCCAGAATAGTTTTCTTATTCAGGTGCACTGCTCTGCACAGGGTTCCCATTTGAAATCTATGTATTACTGCTTCAGAATCCTTGTCAAAGCACACTGGCCCTTGTTGCCTGACTTTTTATAAGCAGGGTCACTAGTGACAAGGTGTCACTAGGAAAGGTCTGTATAAAGAAAAGGCTTGTTAAAGACACAAAAATCAGAGTCCTTCAGGTTGGAAATGACTCTTAAGTGGCCAACCATTAACCAGCACTGCCAAGTCTACCACTAAAGCATGTCTGTAAGCACCGCATCTACACATCTTTTAAATACCTTCCAGGGATGGAACTCAACCACATCCCTGGGCAGCCTGTTCCAATGCTTGACAAACACTTTGGTAAAGAGATTTTTCATAGTATCCAGGATAAACCTCGCCTGCACAACTTGAGGACATTTCCTCTCATCCTATTACTTGGGAAAAGAGACTGACACCCATCTCACTACAACCTCCTTTCAAGTAGTTGTCAAGAGTGAGAAGTGTCCCCTCAGCCTCCTTTTCTCCAGCCTAAACCACTGATGGCTCATACTCGGCTGGCGGCTGCAGTGACATACAGAGGCAGCTGGTTACAGGCATAACAGGCATATTGAAGCAAACTGAGGCTCTGCATGAACATCTTTCATACAGGAAAATTACTTTTCAGGCATACATAACTTCTGAAATT